TTTTAATACAGCCAGAGTAAAAACAACATCGGAGGAGGTATGAGACAAAGCAAAGAGCGGGATGAGGGGGGAAAAACAGAAAGAGAAGGGACCACTGTCGGCGGCACTCGGCAGGACAATCTGGCACTTAACCACAGATGCTCATGAATTAAACAAATTATCCTTTCCTTTTCTGTGTCAATTCCCTCAGCCCCTCCTCCCTCTACCAGAGAGTCCAGCCAGCTCGCTCGCTCATCACATCGCAAATGATGGGAGGACAGAGGGGAGATGAAGAGGAGTCCTTTTATTAAACAGCGTATGCTCATTATATTGTTGTTAAAGATACATAAATTACAGAGACTGTGATTAATAGGGCAAGGACATTGGCCAAGAACAAATACAGACACAAGATGAAGAAACAAGAACTGCTTGCCAGAGAACAGCAGGAGTCCTTGAAGTCTTGTTGCATGTGCGCACACGCACACACACACACACACACACACACACAAACAGGCGACCATGCCAGCTCGCCTCTCAGGGATGTAATGAACATTTATGGTAGATCCCTGTGGGTTTTTTTAACTGGGGAGAAACTGAAGGTCTCTTGTAATGAGCAGATGTCTGTAGTCTGCCCACGACTCAGGTCTCCGGAAACACACTAACAGGTAGGACCACAAGATGTGTGTGTGTGTGTGTGTGTGTGCTTGTGCTCACATGTGGAACAGAGCCAGAACCTTTTAAAGGTCTGCATCAAGTAAAAAAAATCATTTAGAGTCAATATATCAGAGCTTAGTGAATTGGTTAGAAACTCTCAGTCTGTTCTCATTTTGCAAAGATGAAAACAGTGGGTTAGACATTAATTCTTAATTTTTCATAGGTGACTTTGGGTGGAGTCAAAAACCTTGGTAGAGGGAATTATGGCAGCTGTACAGGAGTTACGTAGCTCTAGATCTGTACAGCAATACGTGATGCAACCTGATGCAAGAAGCGGACCAATAGGATGGAGGAAACGTCAGTGGCTGTGTTGGAACTGTATTTAAAGTTATAAATGTGTGGCAGGTTCAGAAACATGTAATTACAGAATTTCCTTCATTTCCTCCATATTGTTTTATGTTGTTTTGACACTAAAAGCAAACAAAAATACACTTGTCATTTGCAATTCAAGAGGAAAACTCAAAGACTAACCCATCCTTTCCACCGGGTGTAGCTCTGTTGCATTCCATCTGTGATGCAGTTTTGATCTGTCCTCTGTGGGGCTTCATCCCCCCCATCGGGTGCGGCTGTAGAACGGCTCGTTGTGGTGCTGATTTATCATGTAGACCATTTTTCTTTGTTTTTGAGTTTCTAAAATAGGTAAGCTTCTTAGTTAAATTGTTTCATTTTTTGTCTGTTTTAATCGTGCTGTAGCCTGCAGACTAGACTACAGTCAACCAGTTAAATTTAACAGTTAAGTAGTTATGAAGCACAGGTCAAAGATTTGTGGCTGTGCTTTAGTTATTAAAACATTCATCTTTACTAGCTACTTATTTGGTATCTATGTTTCACATAACATATAGTGTTATGTTTACAGCACTATCTGATTGGTGGGTCGAACTTTTGTCAGAAGCGTTCCAGAAGCGGGATCTGTGAAAAACAGAGCAGGCACGTATCTCTAGCGAAGCGGGGCAGAGAGCCGCATCTGGGACACTTCAGAAATGCATCACAGCTGCGCCCGGTGGAACCACAAGCACTGACTAGACTAACAGCAATCAGCTCTGGCAACCGTGCCGCAGACAGAACGCAATGCAGCCGCATCCAGTATAAATGAGGGGTAAGACTGGCAACACTCTATATTTTTAATTATCATCAAAATAAACTGTTCAAATTCTCGTTCCTGTCCAATTCTTTAAAAAAAATACTAAAAAAATGTATACCTTCATTTTTAAACAGGATAAATAAATTCCTAATACAATAGTTTTTAGCAAACAGCAGTACACTGTGTGTTTGTTGGAGACTCATTTGTGCGGTGCTTCTGAATGTGCACTGACTAAAGACATTAAGATTACACCTGCAGAATTAGATACAAGTTAAAAAAATGAGCAATAGACTCCTGCCTCCTCTTTTTTGGCTTCACATGTCTCTGTTTTAACATTGCTTGTTTAGCTTCAAGATCTGTCATCTTAATAACAGCAAATTATTCATCTAACGTTGCCAAAATTCCACCCAGTCTTACCTGCAGTAGTTCTTCCTGTTGTCTCCTGTGCTCATCTTGCAGGGCTCTGATCTGAGCAGCATGGGCCTGTTGTAGTCGCTCTCGCTTGCCCTTTGGACTGCCATGGTCTTCATACCGCCACACTGCAGCTAAAGTCAGTAAATACAACAGTATGTTGTCAAATATGAAGATAAACTAGTGGCAAGATAAAAACCTAAATAATGCAGCACAATGGGTTTTAAACCCATGGGTCAAGGAGGGCAGGGATTATGCATGTTTCTGTTCCTTCAGCATATCTGCCCTCAATCCTGACTGATCTTGAATATTGCTGGTCAAATAATGACAGCAGGTTGGAGTTCATCCTGCAGATCAGCATAAGGTGCGATAAGGACTTCTTAATGTCAGGTCTTTGTGTCATGTTTGCAATAGTGATTGTATATTTCTCTATTGTTTAAAACTCTGCACAACCCAGTTGTAGCTACACACTATGGAAACTTGAGTTAAATCACCTTTTACAGAGCTCGATGGGAGTGCAAACCTGCACAACCTCAAACCTCTGTGGCTCACACTGTAGTTTGACATCCCTGACCTGGTCTTACCTCTGGGAGTACTGGAGCTGGGTCTGACCACTGAACCAACTCCTCTGCTGACATCTGCACTCCTTTCCTGTGTCTCCTGTGAAACGTGCATGACCAGTCTCCGTTTGACCTTGGACAGTCCGCCCTGACCTTCGCCTCCACTCTCTGGGGTCAGATCCTTCTCCTGAACAAGATGACCTTTAGAGCCCAAGTCAGAGCCCGATCCTTCAAGGAGCCACAGGTCAGATGGTGTGTCCACATCATACGACTGGTTAAGAGATGGTGAGTGGGTAGAGTCATGATGGTTGCTGGTATCCACAAGCACTGAGGCACTACATGGAGCTTTGGTTTCAGATGGAGCATTTCGGAATACGTCGGGAATGCGCATCTGCTGTGCTACAGACCGGATACATTTAGCAGACGGCTGCTGCTTTCTACAGCCATACATCTTAGTTAGTCCTTCTTTTCCTGTCCCTTGGTCCTTTTGACTCTCTATTGTTAAGATTTTGACTGTCCTGAGTTTGCTTAATTCAGCTGTCTCAGTTCCCTTTCTCTGTGCTATGAGAGGAACATCATCTGTGTCATCGAAGCCTGGTTCAGGTCCTGCATCTTCATGTGTGTTTTTACAATTGTGGAGTGATTGTCTTCTCAGCCCCCCGCTGCACTCTGCATCGTTGCCATCACCTCTCAGCTCGTTCTCCCAACAGTCGCAGTCACCTTGACAAAGCTGCATGTGTTTATCATTTTCAATTTGCTGACAATCCCCAATGCCTTTAAAGCTCAACTCGCTTTGCATGCTGGTCTCAGTTTGACTGTGATTCCCCAAGTTTTCTTTCACTGTAGACTCCAGATCTGAGATCAGTATTTTTAAACTGGACAAGCTAGACTCAAGCTGATCTATGTGCTGTGAACTCTTGGCTAAACCATTTGTTACATCTCCCTCAACCATGAGATTCACAGTAAAAGGAACTGCTCTGTGATGTCCCATATTACTCTGTTCTTCATTTAAACCGGCTTTGACTACAAATGTCCCCTCCTTGGTCTTAACCCCATCAGTAACTTCTCCGCCTTTTATAGTGCCTTTGCTTTTGCAACGAACAGGACTCCTGCAGAAATTAGGGGCTGGGATAGAATGATACTTCCCTACAGCTGAGGGACCAGTGCTTGAGTAAAAAGCTTCTTGAACCGTGGAGGTTTCTTTTGACATGGGGTGTTGCTGGATGAAGGCGCTAATTTGTTTAGGCTCTGCTATGACATCGTGTGAGCTGTTCAGCTTATTATTTTGGAACATTGTTTCTTCCTGAACACTTGTCATTTGCTTAGTATTCCCATCTTCTGTTAAATGCATGCTGCCAGATTTAACATTTGCCCTTTTCCCAATCAACTCACTCTCAATTATCCTATCATTTCCCCATGATTTCTTTGGTGATGTTTCCATTGTCGGTATAAAAGTGCCTCGACCCTCTTTAGTTTTCTTTCCCTCTGCAGTCACAGTCCTCTTGTAAGGGAACTCGTCATTCTCCTTATCAGAGAGGCTCTGTTCCTCTGCCCTTGCTCTTGGCTGTTCTTGGGTCTTCTCCTGGATTTTACTATTTTTGGCTTGATTCCTAAGCATCCGCTGGTGCCATCGATACTCCTGAGATTTTTTCTGCAAGGACTGGAGGCTAAGACGATAAGGCTGCTCAGAAAGCTCTGCTTCATCTGTATGGTAGTCTGCTGGTTCTGCTTCTGTGGGGTTGTACTGAATATGCAGTTCTGTTGTCAGACAGTGATCAGTGCTTAATGTTTGAGATAATTCTGGTCTGCTTTCTAATAAAGAAACTGGGATCTCAATTCTATCAGCACTGTGATTTTTGTCAAGGCCAAGTACTGTAGCATAAGGATGGTTGTCTTTATCCCCTGTGCTGTCCAGATTACTGCTTTCAGATTTTCCCCCTAGTGAATGGTCACATATAACTGAATCCTGCTGATAGGAGGTG